AGTGGCGGAGGCAGCAGAGGTCTGCGGAGAGAGCTGGGCCAGGGCATCGTGAGGCTGGGAGGAGCGCAAGCGAGAGCGGAACAGCCGCTCGCGCAATCCCCCTCTTCAGCTGGGCACAGAGCCCCTCACCAACCTAGCGGTATCCTGAAGGCGTTAAGCAACGCGATCACCTTTGCCTCCGCCCTGGTTCCCGCGGCTTGACACCTTTGGGATACTGCTAGGTTGGTGAGGGGTGCTCTACCTGGCCAGAGGTGGGAAGTTATCCAGGGGGCTTATTTGCGGGGAAGGGCTTATATTTTTGCCCACCAGAAAAATGTGGCATGGCCTTATTATCAGGACATGTCGTAATTTTGGGGAAACACTGTAAGCATACAGTAATATAAAGTTAGTGAACATGAGATCATTAGTACGTCACTTCCTCTTGATCATTCAATGCCTGAAATATTTGCACCCTCTAAAATAATTTTAGGGTAGCATAGAAATAATAAATCCTTGAGAAGAATAACTATTATTTTAGTATTTGCACAGAATTTGTCTTATGTTAATTAATGACAAATTAGCATAAGTATTTTCAGTTCAATATCCAGTTCTAGTGAATAAAAAAAGACAAGAGAAGAAACACTTACACAAAATATAGAAGTATACAAATTTCTCAGTGGGCATCATCACGCTTCAGAGTATGCGTTATTAATAGGAAGCAGCTGCATATTTTTTTACTTTTACAATTTCATGTGGTTTTTTTGGGGGGTTGGGGGAGTTTGGCTTCCTGTGAAAAAGGATTTCATATTGGCCCAAAGCACTAATGAAAGCAGGATCCTCATATTTAGCATTCAACCATCAGTACTCCATGAGAGCAGCATATGGCATCATATGTATGTTGCCAAATGTTATTTTGCTGGAGTTGGCATTGGTGTTAACCTAGTGAAGGCATTAAGGTCTTTGACTGAAGGACAAGCCAAGGTATGAAGTTGAACTGGACTATATGCTTGAATTAGAAAACTTGGAGTACATTCTTTGGTGTATAAAGGAGTTATTGGAACAAGTATTGTTTAGGTCAACCGAATCTGTAGCATTTACCTTTGGTGAGAGTTGAGCAGGAAGTAGGAGAGATCCTTTAAATATACTTGTTGAAGTTTCATGATCAGCAGCCCGGGATTTGAGAAAAAGTTGAACTGCAATTGGCATGAGATGTTTACTGGTACATTAGGGGCCAGTATCCTGGAAAGTTGAAACTGAGAAATGAATTGCCTATGCCTTTGACACTGCCACTTCTGGAGTTAAATGATCCAAATTAAACTTTTGAGATTGGAAAGAGCTTGTTTCAAATCATTAAGTCTTTTCAAAATAATAACCTGATCTTTCAGAGTTGAGAGGATGTAGAAAAATAAAAGCTTAGTTTCTGGAGATAAATTAAAATGCATTAAAAACTAAAATTAAAACACAAAACAACAGTGCTGCAGCTACGTTGCTATTACCGTGGTAAGCTGAATGGGTATGATTTATTGGTCATGATAACCTATTTTACTTAGGATTTCTCTGTGATGACATTTGGGGAATAATGGATTAGGTTTATAGTATTGGTTTTTAACATGTATTTTGATCTATTTTTATAAGCTCTGGCTCCTACTGCTTTCAATCTACAAAGCAAGGATAAATGTGGGAAAATAGCTGTTGTTTCAATTACACAGACTTGGTTATACTGGAGTATCTTGACTTACCCCCCCAGGATTCATGGTAATTGTCACCAATGTATATGTGAGTCCTCGATTAACAACTACAGTCTCCAACATTTCTGTTATTAAGTGGGACATGTGTTAAGTACGTTTTGCCTCATTTTGCAACCTTTCTTGACATAGTTGTTAAGTGAATCACTGCAGTTAAGTTAGTAACATGGTTGTTAAGTGGCTTTGACATTGACTCTGAAGGATGCAAAAGGAGATCACATGACCCCAGGCCACTGCAACCATCATAAATACAAGATGCCAAGCATTTGAATTTTGATCATGTGACCAAGGGGATGCTATAACAGTCATAGGCATGAAAAACAGTCATAAGCTGTTGTAATTTCGAATGGTGACTAAATGAACTGTTGTAAATCAAGGACTATCTGTAGTACTAAAATGTTTATACTTCTTTTTTGTAACTAACCAGCTATAGGGAAATATATTTGTATTTGTATTTTTTTAATGGAAAAATACCAAATTTGATTTCCCTCATTTTATTTTGAAAGTTGCTGTGTACAATTGATGACCTGAAGGAAATGGGAATACCTCTTGGGCCTCGGAAGAAGATAGCAAATTTTGTAAAAGACAGAGCAGCCAAACAGGTGGGAAGCAATCTTACTGAGTCTCCCTTTGTCTCTTTGGATATTAACATTGCACCACA